AATCCGTCAACCGGTTCTTGAGCTATCCTACTTCAAACATTTTCAAACAAATGCCTCTGTATTTCCCAAACAAGCTGCTACGGGGCCCAAACTTACGGCACTTCTTTCTGAGCACAAGAGCTACCTACCATCTAAAAATCATGACCCTAGCACGTTCATATCACGAGATTTAAAAACCAGAAGTTTCGCTGCAGTACTTTCTAATTCAATGACGTGGGGACCCCCCACGAAGCCCATATCCGAACTTGACCTTGGTATTGTCAATGGTAACTTGCCAACTAAAAAACATGAACATCCATTTAAAGATTCTCGAGTTATCTTGATGACAAGAAAAAACACAAAAAACAAAGGTCAACTGCAGTGACATAGAAACCCCCACGGGGCCCATCTTTGAACTTGACCTCGGCATTTTCAACGGTAACTTGCCCACTAAAAATAATGAACATCCATTTAAGGATTCTCGAGATATCTTGATGACAAGGAAAAAACACCAAAAACCAAGGTCAACTACAGTGACTTAGGAACCCCCCACGAATCCCATTTTTTGCCTGGACAATGGCCACCCCTAAATCAACCTGCCTGCCAAAAATCGTGAACCTCAGACCTTGCCTTCAAGAGTTATCGTGCCTAATCTGCCAAACAGTGCAAACCCGATTTCATAACCTTCTCCGAAGGCATAGCCTTCAGTCGAAGGCAATTATTGCCTATTCTGTGTACTTTTATATATTGCTGTCTTTGAGTATGTAAAATTTTGCTGTAAATGTGTTTTTTGTATGGGGGGGGCAACTTGTAAAGGTGCGTATGCACCTGTTTTTCCCTCCCTTTCACTTTGAAGAAAAATCCCAATAAACCTTAACTTTGTAGAAAATCCCAATAAACAAATAAACCCATATAGAACGGATAAGTAATTGAAGATGTGGATTTGTATTGTAAATATAGTAAAGTGTAGGGATTAGAAATTGGGTCTTGGAAAGCTTGTTAACAGCCTGCTGACATCATTACTTAGCGTAGGAGTACCACGTCTGAAGCCTCTGCTGTTGACTCGGACTGGCTACACGTGTACTGTAAACTGTGTACCCGTGCCATGTACGATTAACAAGATTACAGTGGACAGTAGGTATGACCTAAATCGCCTTTTTCTTAACGCCTCTTATCCTTTAACCGAACCCATTTTGGGCCGCTTTCCATTCACTATCAAAAATCAGATTAAAAATCTTTTCTAGGCCAATTGGCAATTCTTGTTTGATCTCATTAATTATGCACGATGACTTTTATATACTTGGGGTTTAAAACGAACGTGGTTTGTTTACAATCCACAGCACACAGGAATATATTTTATATAGTTCGTACGTTCCCAGTCTAGACCAATCAAGATACAAAGTACCAAAAACATACCTTTCCGTAAGGCCATGCTGATTTGATTCGATAGATGACATCCTCTGGGGGCCCCAAAACTGATGCGAGCGTGCGTATAAAAAGAATTTGCCAAAAAAGTTGCCTTCATTATGAAATCTACGTGGTCATGAGGGTTGAACAAATGACTAAACACAAAGTTTGGTATGGCAAATAATGAACTCATCATTTTCATGTCTTCACATTTTCTTCTTTCTTTTCCCCATTTATTTTCCAATTTACGGCATATGCTTGTTCCTTTTTCAGCTGCTTTGTACGATTTACAGTATGACCCAAAACTTTTTGGAAACGGACGAAAATTCATGCGCGCGTGGATGTCACCCATATAATTGAATCAACATGGCCTAAAAACAAAAAGAAAGTAGGTAGTAGCGTAGACTATAACGCCCCCCCCCCCCGATTGTCTGCGGCAATGTTTTTCAAGAATGCATATCAAAGGTACACAATGTAGTTATTAGGACTTGAAAACCAGGTTTTTCAAAGTATTTCAGTCTGTTCTCTACATACTGAGTAGTTGAAACAACACTATCCCAATGTATATCGACATTCATGGAGGAAAAATGCCGAAAATGTGACGGAAAACGGTTACTAGTATACAGTATCTTGGGCTCATTTTTTCTTGGGCTCTTTCTGGGGCGTGTTTCTGCGCTGTTTTTAATTCCCAAAGTATGAAATACTTATTCAAATGTGCTAATGTGGGTCAGTATGTGTCAATACCATACAGATTACCTTAAGCCTCGGTTACTGAGAATACTTCAGGTTTGGTCTTCCCGAAATTGCGACTATCCCATGTGTCTGAACCGGTTGGACTGTTACACGTCAAAATATCCACATTTCCATAATTTAGACCTTACCACTTGTCAAGAAGCTATTTTAGGCATTGAAATTAGACACCAAATAGCCCAATTCTCGCTGAGTTGACTCGTCGGTCAAATCTATAAATATAAGCGTGAAAATTTGTGTTTATATTGGTTCAGTAAACAAACAGTCGTGCCCTAGCCACACTGACTCAACAGGTGGGCACCCTGTCAGAAACACCCCCCTCCCCTACAAGATAGTGGGAGAGTCCTTCATTGTCGTCAAGAGCATCCGGCTACTACTGAACATAATCATGTAAAAACGCGTGGGGGGCATATGATATAATACCCAATCCTCCTGAGAAACGTCCTAGTGTGGTGAGGATACTCCGAGACGAAGGCTGAGCGGTGTAGATGTGAGGGCAGCCCGGGCGCCTGACTGCCGGGCAGCCGGGTCGGTCGGCCTCCGAGGACTGCTTGAGAACCGTGCGGCATCATGACTTCAGCAGACGTAGCCCTCATGTCAGACGGCGATCTACAGGTGACAGTGTTCAACATTTGTAACTCGTTAAGACATGTTTAGAGGATAAGAAATTGTAGCGATTATAGCCGAATATGTTGAATGATTTGCCAGAGCAGTCAGTAGTTTAAGCCCCTTCCACACAAAGCCGAATATGGCCCCCCGAACACTACCAGGCCCCACAAGCATGGTTGAGAATAGGTCGTGGGCAGGTCGGCTGTGGATGGCTGGTGTTCGGCAAGGTCGGCTACTGATCGGCCGCGCCAGCCGAGTGTTTCAAAATGTTTAAATTCGGATGTGGACGGGAGGTTCGACCATGGTTGCCTGGTGTTCGATAGTAGACCAGCAGAGTTCTGGGCATCCTCAGCGGTCAAATTTGACTCAAATTTGATTCAGTTTGTACGGAAAGGTAAGCGTGGCGTACATTTGGCCAGACTGCTCCTGAACTTCAGCCAACCTTGGTCGGTTGTTGATTTCGGAAAGCTACGGTATGTATCCAGATAAAACTGTGCGTTATCCAGAATCATACTCAGGTACGGTTCTGGATACAATAATGTGGGGTAGAGTGTTCGTCTCAGAACCAAGAGGTCCCGGGTTCGAATCCTGCCATGCCACTGATCTTGTGCTCTTTGGAAAGACACTTTACACGCCTTTTCTTACTTCACTCAGATGAAAATGAGGATTGCATTGTCTCTGTATTGCTGGTGGCGGCATAAAAATAAGTTGATAAAACTTGAGTGTGCCCTCATCATGTCTTGTGATTACATGTTGGAAAAAATCCCACATCATAGATCCTGCGGACCGGAGTCGAATCATGTTCTCACCTAGAAACAATCAAAAGCGATGATGGACATGCAATATAATATAATTACAAGCTTAAAGATGATCTATAGCATTATATTAGTCAGTAATGAGAGTGAATTTTGCACCAAGAACGCAGACAGATTTAATTGCCTCTATCAAGGATATTATATTTCGTGTACATGATTATTCAATATTGGTAGATTTACATAGTGTTTGATGTAGCCCTAGACTTAAGCGTAGCGAATAAACCAAATCATCATTATCATCAATCCAGGGTAATGTCACTCCTCCGGAGGAACCCCTCCCTTGACTCATTCCACTCTCTTCTCAGTCTGGCGCATCTGGGTCAAGCAGGGCCCAGGTGTTGTACAAGACTGTCCCTCCACCTCGTACAGGGCCGTCTTCTGCGTCTCCTCCATTCCCGGGGTGTCCACTCAGTGGCTCTTAATGTCCATCTGTTGTCTTGTAGTCTAGCTACATGTCCTGCCCAGCGATGTTTTGCTGTGTTGACAGCAGTGATGATGTCGGTTACTCCTGTCTGGAGTCGGAGCCAGGAGTTACTAGGTTGATTTTTAGGACTTTGCTGAAGTAACATTAGAATCAATGTAATCTTACCTAAAATTTTCTGGTCCCATCCAGTGAAGGCATCGAGTGCAATTTTAGGGCGGATTTTCAAAATCAATTTCTGGTCATTCTTAACCCGATGCAACTATAGTTACGGGAGGGGCTAAGGTAAGGAGAGGCAGAAATGCAATGTCACTGATGGAAAACGATTACTTATTTTGTATCGTTGGCTAGTTCTAGATATTTATGGGCGGTGCCCAAAAATAAAGAGACTCCTCACATGGCTTGTTTTGGGGACTATTTCAAACGCTTTAAGTATAAAATAAAGAAAAAATGTGCTACGAAATGGCAGCAAATGTCAATATCAGACAGATTTCATCATCCAGAATATTTTTGTTTTGCCGTCCTGAAATTATATTGGATACCTTTACGTCTAAAAATCGTTGGTATTATTAATGTCAGAACAATTGTGTGAATTAATGAACATTAGGTGCAGATACACAGAGCGTATAATGGTATTTTCCCTCAGTGAATGTTCATGTGCTATTACATGCGTATGTATTACACAAGTAAAACTAGAACGAAGAACGAAAAACAGCCATAATCATCATCATCATTATATAAGTGCATATATAACGGGAGCCTGAGGGCTTCAACAATGCTTTGAAGTATCGTCTCGGCACATCTTAGACAAAAATCAATTTGCGGAAAACGTTTTCTAGCTCACTACTTTGTAAAGAAGAGCCATCACTGTAATTGAAATGGCAGGAGCCACGGTGTTAAGAGAAATATCAAACAAAATGTGCCGGCCGCTTCCGGCTTGAACTCTTGTGTGCCGTTTTTCTGAAACGAAGCGTAGGCGATCGAATTGTCTAAGACCAGATGAGACCTTGAGTATGAAAGGGTTTCGTGTTACCTTGGCTTGTCTGTGTACTGCGATCGGAAATGAGAATGGGGCAAAACAATGTTAAGGACTATATGGACAGGGAACATATTAGGGCTAGTAGAAAGATGTGTGAGCTACTAGATGAGAAATTTCTAGCATGGCATAAAAGGTTAGAAAATTAGCTTTGCATAGAACGACAAGAAGACTTCAATGGGGTCGTGTGAAATAGCAGAAAATTCTGCTCAGAACCAAGAGATCCCGGGTTCGAATCCTGCCATGTCACCGATCTTTTGCCCTTACGAAGGACACAACGCAACTTCCCTCACCTCACTCAGGTGGAAATGATTTCCTTGCTTCGATTAGGGACGTTCCTCGTGTAGGACGTTAAATGGAGGTCCCGTGTTTGGGGAGAGCCACATCCCACGCACGTTACAAAGAATCCACCATACTTATGATAAAGAAAAGAGGTCCTTCCTGGTGTGAGTGGTTCAAACCTTTCTGTCCTATGGCCGAGTTCGTATTGAGGTCACCTGAGTTAGCGCCGAATGGCAGCCGCTCCAGACCCTTGCGATTAAGCCCCACCAATTGCAAGCTCCTCACCATTCAACCCTTGGCAGCAAGGAGCAAGGAGAGAGTACCACCCATATAACTACATGTACTAAATAATACCATTACTAACACTAGTACAGGGTTGTTTGCCGGCGAGTACATAGCCACCATGTTGTGAGAGTGAACCGTGTACAAATTCCAACTCCCCATGGCATGCAAATGTGCCTGGAAACTGAAAAGCCCAGTACATGTTTTACTTAAGACCGTATATATAGCACAATAGGCGGAATGAACACTGTAATACATTGTAAAACACTGTGTAATAGTTTAAAAAAACATTACAATGCCATAGAGCATCGCTATTTTCAGCACTGGCTCTGATGACAATAATGAGAAGGAACATATATCGACGGCGCATGACGCCCTTTGAAAAATCATTTCGTTTTGTCCATTACCCCAGAAGTTTTATCTCAAAAAACAAGACGCGAAACTGTATGTTGGATCCGAAATTGAAGCCATTGCCCGCGAAAGAGGTTACTGACCTGGCCTCTTAAGTAGACCGCGAAGAATCATTTTGTGTAGCTCCATTAGCGTTATTAGCCATGGTGGGGCGGACTCTTGTACTGACGCAGTGTATCTGAAGGGTAATGAATAGGTAGCTATCAATTTGGCCATTCAGTCGGTGGAGAGAAAATCCGATATGACCTTTTTTCTCCTTCCCCATCCCACACATTTCCCATCCCATACATACAGATTACTCTAGTGTGAAGAATTACTTTCAAAAGTGGTTCATTGAAATGCGTCAACTAGACTGAATTAAGGGTCAATGACTTGACAGATCCCCGGTGTATATGGTGTGATAAAGCCCTGTCAGTTGCTTTAACCACCGAATAAAACCGCCGAGTGAGCGTAGCGGTGGGTTTCCTAATCTAGAATATTTTTTTTGTTTTTGTTTTGCTGCCCTGTTACCTTTAAGGATGACACTCCGTCAAATGTTGTGTCGATAAAGATATCATCTGCAACTGGCATAATTACGATGTAGCATTCACCAATGATCCAAAGAAAACCGTGAAAAAATCCGGGTTATGCACAGACGCTGTACGTTCTGCCGTTATACAGGAGTTTTCTTTTACGCAGCCAATCTCATCTTACCTTGCTTACGTTTCGGTGTTTATCAGACACATTCCTCAGAGCTTCTGACTGGAGTTCTGCTTCTCGCCGCTATATGTAGCCGATGTAGGTGGCGCTTTTGCTGCGAGAACACAATCCCAAACGTAGCTGAGTTTGTACCCTCCCTCGTCCCGGTTCATCACTGGAGTCGACTCCCTTATCTAGACACCTGATATCCGATAGACACCGAAACGTAAGCAAGATAAGGCAGTCTTGGTTATGTAAAACACGGCGGTCGGTTGCTAGGCTAAAAGTCGCATTACTAGGGAGGTATCGGGTTACAGAACGCGTTCGAACGTGGCCGCGCGGGAGTCCCAGGCCGGCCCGGGGGCAACGGGTAAAATTTGAAAATAAACAAAAGTAATTGGAGAGTAAATACTCGTCAAAATAAAATGTAATAAGTGATTTTGTTTACCTCAAATGTTATTCTTGCACTGCCTTTGCTCCACTTTGTGTACATTTGCTTCCAAATGAGATCAATTTCGGATTTCAAAAAGGGTTCACGAGAACCAAACAACTGATTTTAAGAGGCCCCGAAAATTAAAAATAAGGTTAGATTTTTGGATTTTTAGAAATATTACAGTAAATTTAAACTTTCTGTCTTAGGATTTTTTTATTTTTTAACTAAAACTCGACTTACAGTCAAAAGAAGAGCTAAAAACGCAGTGTTTTAACTTTAAATACCGATAATTCATAATCGCGGCCATATTTAAAAAATCCCTAAGACAGAAATCTGCGGAAATCGTTGCTCTTCCAAACAAGCCCTCAATGAGGTAATTTGAGCGATTTTTGGGAATGGTTAAAATACCATGTTTGCACGCGTGCTATGACACTTGGATATGGGGACCTGGATTTTATAACAGCGTATACAAGAATTCTGACCTTCAAGGTCACCCACGATGACGGCAGTA